GAAGCACGGGCATATCAACAAGAGGCGCAGTCATGGGGAGAAAGAGGAAATGAGAAAGCAGTAAAATGGCGAGGAGAAAGAGGAGGACGCGGAGCGGTGGCCGAGCATTCCTGAGCGCCAGCCGCTGCCATCGCAAACGAGTCGCCCGGCGTTGAGCAACGCGGCTGGAGCGCGCGAAGGCCGCCGCCGCCGCCGCCGCGCGGAGGTCTCCATTCAAGGCGCGCGAGGGCGAACTGGGGCTCTCGGCGCCGCAGCTGCGGCCGCGACCGCCGCCGCCGCCGCCTCTTGGCACCTGTCGTCTGGGAGTGGCCGCGCCTCCCGCTTCCCACCCACGGCCCCCGGCGGCGGGACCGGGCGGGTGGGCGGGGCCCAGGGTGTCGGGATGGGGCGGTGCCCGGTGGCCGCGCCGGACGCCGCCCCGCAGCTCATCCGCCCGCCTCCTGCTGGCCGCGCCGCCCGTTCTCACGTGGCCAGCTGGGCGGAGGCTGTCCGGCGGGGGCTGGGCCATTCGCACACACCCTCGCATAGACCCTCGCACACACCGCTAGGGACGGTCGATTCCTGTAAAAGATTCGATTCCGGAATCGATCCCAAAATCGAAAAGTTTAAAATTTATTGTAGACTCTAATCGAAAGAAACGAAGCTATTCTCTAGGGAATCGATTTACATGAGGTCACCAATCAACGAAAGTAAAGATACCACAATCGTGCATTTAGAAAAAAATCTGCCTGCATGCTTTGTTCTGTATACAACGAAAATGACAAAAACCGAAGTGTTTATATTTAAATTATCTTGATAACAAATTGTGAAACCTTTATGAAAAATTACCTGTCCCACATGTAATTCGAACAAGTTTAAATGTAATTTAAACAAGTTGTTCGTTTTGGGCGAAGCAAGAGGTGGGGGCATAGTGGGAGGTAAAATTCAAATAACGACGAGGGCTTTTGTAAAATTAATAATAAAAGAAATAAATATAAAAATTATAATTAAATCTAAACACAAACGTCAAAACCCTTGAAAATGCAGTAAAAGTGCAGGAATAAGAATAATTTTAAAAAATTGGAGGAATTAATGTTATTGGATTCTGGCTTTTTGGAGTCGATTGCAGCAAGAATCCGAAGCAGAAGAATCGAATACCAATTCCACACGAATCGAAAGAAAATAATCGATTCCGGAATCGAATCAGTAGAATCGGAACGTTCCTACCCACCGCGCTGCAGCTCGCCAGGACCCGTTTGGCGATTGCCCCTGTGATGCGCTGGCGATGAGAGAGTTCGGTTTCCAGGGGTTGGGCCTTCACGCGCGTCGTAGAACGTGTTCTGCATATGCAGCCGATGAGGAAGGAGAATCAACAATAAGATTATCTTCAAACATTCGAACAAACCCCATGCGCAGAGAACCGTTTTGGTCGATTCCTAAAATTTCCAGCTTTTTTACATCTAGATATTTGGACCCCTTTTTGAATGTGTCCTCTCTAGTTCTCTCACACTTTTCCTCTCATTTCCATATTTACTTCCTCGCACTTGCTTCGTAAGAAGATTTCGCGTGTATTGGTTTGAAATTTATGTTTTGTTTTTTTTACTAATTTTTGTCTCAAAAAACGCTCTAAATTTTTTTCTTTAAACTTTCTCCACGCACAGAAGAAGGGACGCTTCAAAATGTCGCGGATCTCATTTTCATTGAACTCTGTATTTTCGAAAATTGCAAATTTAGAAATAATATCAGAAAGTATGTGCTGTTGATGCACCACTAGTTTTATTTAGAAAGAGAAACAAAGAGCGTATGTTTGTTAACACTATTTACACTACAGCATACACGGGAGAATGTCCATTTCGTTTTGTAGACCGGTAGTTCCTTATGTCAAATTTTGAAATATTTCTAAGAGCAGTCGAATACTCTCCCTATCTAGGGAACACTTTCAGAGATCGACTGTTCCGATTGATCGTTTCCATGTCGAAGCAGTAAATAGAGGCCAGAGATGGCGAGCGATCCCCCCTTTCTTGTCCTTAATCTGTATCCGCACACAACATACTAGTATATGTCGAAAGTTCATTCCAAGAACTTTCTCTGGAGCCTCTGATGTTGCTGATGAGTAGCGGACTTGATTGACGAGAGAAGGAGCTTTGCATTCTTTACGACCTACCATTTCCTGAGCAGATGATCACAGAGGTGGTTTAATTGGTTGATTAGTGATTCCGTGCGCGTCAACTCCTAAAGCCGTTAGTCTGCGCGTCAACTGCTAAAGCGTTGTGCATGTTTTTTATCGCGAGAGGTGGCGGTGATCTTCCTCCGCTGGATAGGGAGATCCGGCGCGGACCTACTCGTCGGCTTGCGTGTTTTTCCCAAACCTGCTATATTCCACCAGCGGGGCACCTCCCCAGCCGGGACAAGCTTTAAGCTCCCGACTGGTATCGCGGCGTGTGTACAAGTGTAGTGAATGTAAGAGTAAGTATGTGTGTGTGTGTGTGTGTAAGTAAGTAAGTATGGGGTGAGGATACGACAAGGAGCGGAGGAAAATTCCCGTCTGTCCGTGGCCCGTTTGTTATGCTATTGCTCTGGTACTCGCCTGGTGTTTGCTGGAAAAAACACGGAAAACTACCGATCAGAGCAGCCGGCCGCTAGAATTTTCCTCCAGACAGCGGCTGAACTCGACCTATCTATCGAGCTAGAGTCGAAACTCCTGGCACCGTTGGGACTCGAACCCTATGAACTCCCGCTGAGAGGCGCTGCAGTGACATCAATTGATGCTCTGAGCCACCCAAGTCTGTCAGTGGTGGTTTGCATTTGCCTTCCTGTTCCATTCAATGAATGATGACCTCCAGGGGTGTATGTAGACGAGCAATGAATAATTGATGATGATTCACGCGTAGCTTTCGCCTCCACCTTGTATGTTCAAGCCGAAGCAGCTTGGATAATCTAAGACAGCGCATTTCTGCTAGGGGCGAATTAAGAAATGAGCAGTATGAACATAAAATACGCTTCGCTCAGAGTACACATTCTCTTGAGCCTGAGCATTTGATTTTAGTGTATTGTCGGGCGCAAATACTCTTTCAAATTGAAAAAAAATGCAATTATTTGGGTAGCCGTTGCGAATTTGTTTCGTGTTTATTCTTTGCTTGCTGTTGATTATGTGAATTCTGTTTTGCATTTACATTCACGTTGGAATAAACCGTATTTACATTCATGGTGGAAGAATCCCTTGTTACCCCAATGTGGTACTCTGTGGTACATTATAATTGTGACTTACATTGTAATCTTGTGATCTTTAAGACTCATATGAAATCAGAATATTTGCTGCCGAACCTGAAATAAGATCGCAATCTTGTACATGTAGAAGCCATTCAAATTTTGGATAACAAAAACTAGCTAATTCGATTAAAGAGAATCAGGACACTTAAACTAGTGTGGCTCTAAATGAGTGTCTCCTGACATTGTAATTAAAATGCATAGGGCACTAATTAATGAAAATGCAAATAATATTTTAACCCAGATTTAAGAAATCAATGATAGGTCATTAATTACAAGTTTCATTGTGTAACGAATTGGTGTTATAAAAAAAAGCAAAAAACATATTTCATTAGGAATATTAAAATATGGAAATGTACCGTTTTTGTGACATTTGTAGATAAAACCTTCGTGCAAGTGCAGGACAAACTAGCAGGAAACTGTAAATGTCTAATTTAGAAAAAAGAGCAACTACAAATGACGTGAGAGCGAGACATCTATAGAGTTTTAAATAACAAGTGTTGATCACTCTTTATTGTTTGTTGCACAGAAAATCAGCAGTAAGGGAAAAGTGCATGTGATCAGGGTCAGACTTAAAAAAACAACAGTTTTAATCGCATCTAAGCTCTAGCTGTATCTTGGTTGAGGCTGGAAATACAGACGCTGATATTCGGAAGCCGTTGTAACAATGAGTGCAGTATTAAGTTTGTAACACTGAGTGAAGATATAGACAGTAACACTGAGTGTAGATATAGGCAGTATAGTATTGTTATTTTCTAATTTCTTACACTTCAAGCATTACTTTTACAAAATGTAACTATTCTGTCTATTAAGAGCGAAATCAAAAAAAGATTTTACAGGACTTTATTTCACGGCAGAACATTTTTAGTAGCTCTGAAGAATGATACTTTTACGACTTAGAGCCGCAAAATTACAATGACCTTACGAATATTTGTGATTTTTAAAAATCTTTGTATATAATATTTGTTTCACCACGTGTTCCTATTATTGTGTTTTGTGCTGTTTAGGTCATGTGAATAAAAGTGTATTATCATCTCATTGAAAAATACCAAGGAAAAGAAGCGATCAATGAAGAACCATTTTACCTATACATAATTTTAAAAGCTTTTGGGGACATTTTCACATTTTCTTGCGTTAAATAAGGAAAAAAAATATAACGTATAAGATACACTGTTGAATTAATAGAAATTGTTGATTTAAACGCTGAGAAAGACGGTATGATCTCTACTGTAAGAGGTCTAGAACCTCAGTTAAAGTTAATCCGACTGTCTCCACCACGTCTGACAGTCTGACACTCCACACTGATTTATTGAGCATATAACATGGTTCAGTGGAAGAGATAACATAATTTTAACAAACGTCTTGGTTGTTTCTTTTATTAATTTCTTTACGGTCAAGTTCCAGGAATGGCCCATGAACCCTGCGCGACAGGCGCGGCGAACGGAATAGTGAGGAGAAGCAGACGCTCGGCCTGGCAGGAGCGCCGGCGCCACGCAGGGTGGGCGGGGAGCAGTGGACGAAATGGTGGGAGCGAGGGATGGTGGAAGAGGCGAGTGAGGTGGAGCAGTGATTGTGGGGAGGACGGAAGAGAACAGAGGCGTGGATGTGAGGATAGGGCGGAGCAGGAGAAAGGAGTGGGAAAGAGAAACGACAACCGGAAGTCGATGGGAAAAGCCGACGGATGGTAGAGAAGAGCTACGGAGAGGGAGAGAGGAAGGACCGAAGAGGGTGCGGAAAGGAGTAGAGGGCGGGAGATGGCGGAAGTGAGAGAGCAGGAGAGGGTGGGAGAGAGCGGCGAGGGTGGAAGAGGGTGAAAGGGGGTGGGAGAGGGTG